GGCAGGGACCTTGAAATGACATACAGTTGTTGCAGTAAAAATAGCTACAGCCTGTATATCCGCCATGAGGCTGGAAAGCTAAGAAATGGACTGGATCTAGCTGGCAAAGCCACGCCTTTAATCCTACCCATATTGCTCAGTAATTTAAAGGCTCGTGTGGTCAGAAAAAGAGAGATATACAGTAAAGAGAGATTCAAAGACAAAGAAAATTTTTAAATGGTTTACAATGTGTTAAAAATATATGCAGACTAAAAGTTGAAGTTCTTAAAGTAAAAACATAAAAAAAGGAAGAGAGTTGTTGTGTGTGGTAGCACACGCCTTTAATCCCAGTGCCTAGAAGGCAGAGACAAACAGATCTCTGTGAGTTCAAGGTGTAGTAGTGTACACCTTTAATCCTGAATGCCTGGGAGGCAGAGACAGGCGGATCTCTGAGAGTTCAAAGACAGCCTGGTTTACAGAGTTACTTCAGGTCAAAGATACAGAGAACCTGTCTCAAAAAGCAAAGAGTTAAAAGTAAAAATAAACAAAATAGATAGAGGTTAAAACAAAGCTGCACAAAGATGGAAAATACACAGACAATTTTGATACTGTATGCTATTATGCTCTCTTTGAATTATTTAAATGCTGAGGAAGGAGCAACAGATGCTAAAAGATATTTATTTATAAATGCTGCTAAACTAATCCAACATAGATATTTTGATGCCTTAACTTTGAAATTTGGATCTAAGGACATGATGCTTTGGAAAGGAATTTCTTATTTTGTTTTCACAGAGGAAGAGACGCTGTTCATTTCTTCTATTCTGATTTGGAATGATGGACCACGCCCTCCTGAAGGGTTGGTGTGAACACCTTCAGAAAATTGCTTCGTTCAACTGCCAACTGAGACGAAACTAGCACACAGGTTATACCATGAAAGACCTAATTAACGATGCCCCCATTCAGCAGGAAGCAGTTTGGAGAGAAAAAGCTGCGCCCATGTTCCCAAATATGGTTTATAAATGTTCTTTAACATTTAAAGGGGGATATGATATAGATATGAATAATTTGCATTAGTATAGATTTTGCTTTATTGATAGAGATTTAAGGTCAATTTTGTTATATGTATATGTATTTCTGATCTTTATTAAGGTATTGTGATTGTGTAATTCATTTAAAAATGTAATGTATATAGGTAGTTAATAGATAATCATAATAGTCAAGTTTGTAGTCATGTTAGTTAATATTTTCTAGATATATAGAGATATATTTTAGATAGACATTCTTCATGTCTTTCAAAGATTACAAAATAGGACATTTAATGTTTTAATAACTGAGGACTTTTCATGACAATGAGACACTCTGCTCCTGGCAGCACCAATGTACTTCAAGAGGAAGATGGGCATTGAAGAGGCACCTTATGGAGTTTGATAGCCATTTGGGCAAGAAACTGCTCTTGCCTGGACTATTGCATAAACTGGACACAGAGAACCCACAGAGAGAGGACTACTGAACTTGCCTAAGGTGAGATGATCTTTTGGGGTTCCTGATTCATGAGAGAGTCTGCGAGACATTCTTCAGGACAAGCAGATAGTGACTGCCTTTGGAATTTCCTGCTTGATGAAAATGTCTGCTGGATACTATGGGCCTGAAGGCTGAAGGTGGATGCCCCAACGGTACAAAAGAACTTTGGGTGACTGTCCAGGCAGTGAGATGTCTTTGTCATTTCTAGAGTTTGAAGTTTCTTAGTTCTTGTTTACTTAGGTAATATTATATCTTTCTGGAGTCTTTGATGGAGTTAAGAATAATTAGTTATAGTTATAGTTTTCCTTAGTTATGATAAAGATTATTGTAATTTTTACTTGATAACTGTTTTGTTATATGTAATTTTGCTATGTTAACGTTAAAGCCTTTTTTTTGTTTAAACTGAAAAAGGGGAAATGATGGAGGAAGGTCATTGCCTAATAAAGGAACTGCCTTGGCCCATTTTATTGGTTAGAAGATAGGTGGGAGGAGGAAACAGAACAGAACGCTGGGAGGAACAGGAAGTGAGGTCAGAGTCGCGACAGCTCTCCTCTCCGGAGCAGACGCCTGAGAGAGATGCCATGCCCCGCTCCCGGGATGAAGCTCCGACCCAGGATGGACATGGGCTAGAATCTTCCTGGTAAGCGCACCTTGGGGTGCCATACACAGATGATTAGAAATGGGCTAAATTAATATGTGAAAATTAGCCTAGAAGAGAATGGGCCAAACAGTGTTTAAGAGAATACAGTGTCCGTGTAATTATTTTGGGGCATAAGCTAGCCGAGCAGGCAGCCGGGGTGCTGGGGACACAGCCCCGCTGCCCTTATTATTACAAAATACAAAAGGGCCTCCTACACCATTTTCCCTTTTCTGTTTAAACAAAAAGGAAGGCTTTAACATAGTGATATTACATATAACAGGAATCAAGCAAGAATTACAGTTACAATATTTAGATCTATTTTATCTTTTATCATAACAAAGGAAAACTATAACTATCAATTCTTCAACTTCATCAAAGACTCCAGAAGGATATAATATTACCTAAGTAAACAAGAAGTAAGCAACTTTCAAAACTCTATAAATGACAGAGACATCTCGCTGCCTGGACAGTCAGCCAAAGTTCTTTTGTCCAGTTGGGGCATTCATCTTCAGCCTACAGGCCCATAGTATCCAGCAGAAATTTCTATAAAGCTGGAAATATCAAAGACATTTCAGTTATTTTATTTTCTGTGTCCTGCAGAATGTCTCACAGACTCTTTCATGAAATAGGAACCCCGAAGGATCATCTCACCTTTAGGCAAGTTTAGCAGTCCTCTCTCTGTGGCTTCTTTGTGTCCAGTTTATGCACCGGTCCAGGCAAGAGCAGTTTCTTGTCCAAATGACTAACCAACTCCATAAGGAGCTTCTTTGATGCCCATTCTCCTCTTGAAGTAGACTGGTGCTGCCAGGACCAGACTTGTCTCATTGTCATGAAAAGCCCTAAGTAATTAAAACATCTTAAATGCCATATTCTGTAGTATTTGAAAGATATGAAGAATGCATATCTGAAATATATCTATGCACATCTAGAAAATCTAACTAACATGACTACAAACTTGACTATTATAGATGATTATCCATTAACAACCTATGCTTCCTAATTATACATTACATTTTTAAATGAACTACATAATCACAATACCTTAATCAAGAGTAGAAGTATACACACAAGATTGACCTTAAACTTATTATCAATAAACCAAGATTTATACTAATGCAAATTATTCATCTCTATATCATATCCCCCTTTAAATGTAAAAGAACATTTATAAACAATATTTGGGAATATGGGCATAGTTTTTTCTCTCCAAACTGCTTCTTGCTGTATGGGGGCACTGATAATCAGGTATATCCTGTATGCTAGGTTCATCTCAGTTGGCAGTTGGGCAAAGTAAGTTTTTGAGGGTGTTTACAGCAACCTTTCAGGAGGACATAGCCTATCAAACCATATTTGCCTGCAGGCAATCCACAGGTTCTCATCTTCTGTGAAAACAAAAGAAGAACCTCTTTTCCAGACCATCATATCCAAATTCTAAAGTCATAATACCGTTATAATATACATGTTGGTTTAGCTTAGCCCATACAATGAAATGTCTTTTTGTACTTAGCTCCTTTACAGTTAAAAATTCAAAGAAAATACAATAACACATAGACTCTCTGTGAATTTTCCATTTTTATGTGGCTTATTTTTCTTTATTTTTTAAAAATCTATGACTATACTCTGACTCTTTAAAGACTTTACCCTTTTTTAAAGCATTAACTTTATTTTATGACTTTCTATACTCTTTTTCTTTTCTCTCCCAAAGCTATGACTTTATCTAACACTATGACCCATTTAGAGGTCTTATATGTCTGAATCTGTCCTATTGCACTATCTTTAATTCTCTATTGTCTTGAAGAGTTTTTAAAATGCTAAGCATCTTGGTTACAGCTGCTCTGGATATTGGCGACACCTCTTTCCAATTTCAAAATGGTGGACGTATCATTTCTGCTAGCTCCGGGGCTGCCAGGTAGGAGCCGCACTTAGCACTTTAACTCTGAGAATGAGCTTTTTGATCTGAGTTACAGTCAAATCTGCCAGGCAGAGCACTGCACAGCCTGGACACATCTCTCTGTGTGGCAGCAGAAATCCTCCATGCTCTCCTTCTTGTGCATGCCTAGTAAACCTGATCCTGCCGCCTGCCCAGGCAGGGAGCGCTGAGTCACAAGGCACTTTTCTCCTGACCCCAAGTGGGCACAGAAACATCCAGGCCCACAAACGCCATTGAAATTCTTAATAGCAGGTGTTTGTAATGGCGGCACAGCCCAGGAAGCTGTGGTTTTTTTTCTTCCTGCGGCGCCTGAGTCAGGAAAATTACTCTGCAGCAGCCCACCAGCAAACAGCAAAAGGCTGTGTTAAACTCTGTATTTGTGTCTAGAATTCCTTTTCAAGCCCTCTCAGGTTTTACTTGCAGTCAGTTTATCACATTGGGCACCACTCTGTAGTAAGAAGGAACAGGCTGCATCCAGTCCCAGACTGACTTACACCTGGGCCGGCAGGCTGTTTGTCATCCTGGCCACTTGGCCAGCTTATACCTGAAATAACCACACAGAAATTGAATTAGTTAAATCACTGCCTGGCCCTTAGCTTTATCCTCCTATTGGCTAACTTTCACATATTTGTTTAACCCACCTCCATTAATGTGTATTGCCACTTGACTGTGGCTTACCAGCATGAGTCTATCCAGTGTCCATCTCAGGCAGGAGCTCTTCTTCCTCCCTGAATTTGGTTCTGTTTTCCCTGCCTACCAGAGTTCCACCTTATCAACTAGGCCAAGGCAGTTTCTTTAATAACCAAAGAAAGCAACACAAATACAGAAGGGCCTCCTATACTATATACTCTCCCCCATTCCCTCTGTATCCTCCCCTCGACCCACTTGATGCTCTTTGAAAGCATCCTTCACCTGCTGGTTCCTTGGGGTTTAAATGAATGGGTTTAGCAAAGGGGCCACAGAAGTGTTGAGCACAGCCACACCTTTGTTTAAAGTCACCCTCTCCTTGGCTGATGTTTTCATGTACATGAAGATACAGCTGCCATAAGTGATGAAGACAACAACCATGTGTGAGGAGCAGGTGGAAAAGGCCTTTCTCCATTGTTGAGCTGACGGGAACTTTAGGATGGTTTTGATGATGAGTGTGTAGGAGAGGATCACTAAGATCAAGGTGATGATGAGGGTCATCACAGCTAAGGCAAAAGCCATTAACTCTATTAAACCTCTGTCTGTGCAAGACAGCTGCAGGACAGAGGTGTCACATAGGAAGTGGTCTATCAACTTGGAAGCACAGAAATCCAGTTTGAGTGCCAACGGCAAAGGGGGGGAAACGACTAAGAACCCAATCACCCAGGAGCTGATGACCAGCAGGTGACACACTTTGCTGTTCATGATGGTGGGGTAATGCAGTGGTCTGCAGATGGCGACATAGCGGTCATAGGACATGGCTGCCAGGAGGTAGAATTCTGTGACCCCTAGTAGAAAAAAGAAGAAGAATTGAGCTGCACAACCACTGTACAAAATCGTTTTATCTCCTGAGAGAATGCTCGTCAGGAACTAAGGATGCACACTAGGAAGGAGAAATTCCGGAGGAAGAAGTACATTGGAGTCTTGAGGTGGGGATCCAGCAGGGTGAGGAGGATGATCACTAAGTTCCCCATCAGGCACAAGATGTAATTGAAAAACAGAAACAGGAAAATCAGAATTTGTAACGGAGGGTCATCTGTCAGTCCCAGCAATATAAACACTATTTCCATCGATTGGTTCTTCATTTCTCTTGTTTCTTAGCAAATCTACAAAAACACAAAACTAATATCACATTCAGGAAAAGATTTGTTTCTTTTTTACCCACAAAATCTCTATTCCTATTTTCAGTAATCAATATTCAAGTCCCTCTTTGAACATGTCCTCTACCACATCACCGTGTCTGTCAGAGCTCTGAGGTTGGTGCAGAGTTCCGTACATCCTTCTCGTCCTTTTACAGGTCGTCAAGCGCTTGTGTGCTACCTTTGTATCCTTCTGTGGCCCTCCATTCAAATTTTCATTCTAAACCCATATTCAAGAGTTAATTTTGTTAACATCTCAAGTTAATTGTCAAGTCAATACTAATTGATTTAATATTCTAAGGAAATCATTCATAATGGTCATATTAACTATTGCTTTAGAAATTTATATATACTAGAATAGAAAATAGCTAAGAAGGCAAAATTTCTATCATTTTTTAATTTATTTATTTATTAAAGATTTCTGCCTCCTCCCCGCCACTGCCTCCCATTTCCTTCCCCCTCCCCCTCTCCCAATCTCGTCTGCCCCAAGAGCAATCAGGGTTCTCTGCCCTGTGGGAAATCCAAGGGCCACCCACCTCCATCCAGATCTAGTAAGGTGAGCATCCAAACTGCCAAGGCTCCCACAAAGCCAGTACGTGCAGTAGGATCAAAAACCCATTGATATTGTTCTTGAGTTCTCAGTAGTCCTCATTGTCACCTATGTTCAGCGAGTCCGGTTTTATCCCATGATTTTTCAGACCCAGGCCAGCTGGCCTTGGTGAGTTCCCGATTGAACATCCCCATTGTCTCAGTGTGTGGGTGCACCCCTCGCAGTCCTGAGTTCCTTGCTCGTGCTCTCTCTCCATCTGCTCCTGATTTGGACCTTGAGATTTCAGTCTGGTGCTCCAATGTGGGTTTCTATTATTACAGAAGAACTATTTCATGCATTCATGTAACATAAGTATCTTCTATGGCAAGGCTGAAGCGGTAAATGGCACAATTCTCAAGACTGTGTCACCATCTAAACCCACAAATAAACACTGATTCTCCTGAATGGCTTCACATTACAGTCATCTGACTTAAATCAAGCCTGAATGGGAAAAAGGAGTCCACCAGGAAATATGAGTGATGTAGTGTGTGTGTTCTATAGAAAAGTGGTGCTGCAGATAAGTACTCCAACCATTTCTTAAAACTACACGTTTGGACAGCACATGATTTGTATCTGTGGTTAAATATAGTTTTATTTTAAGCACTCTAAGAAATTTTTATCACAAAAGTATAGTTTTTTAATTGACCTTAATAATTAGAAAACCCATAGAACTTGGAATTTTAGATATTATGAAACAGAGCCAAATCACCCAATAGGAGAATCTAAATTTGGCATTTAAAAACACTTATACAAAAACACCTAGAAAAATCAAACTGTTCAATTTTCTAGTTAACCAATTTCTGTCTCATAGATCTAATCCCAGGGTTTTGCACATGCTAAGCAATTATTGGACTACAGTGCTCTTGTCTCAGCTCATAATTTCTTTTGTGGTTTATGATGTAGTGTTTCAGATAGTTAATAGAAACACACAGAGAATAATCTTGATATTGTATTCTAAAGAACTATTGTATCCTTGCTAATATCTCTAACCCTTCGCTTTGATGTCGTGTCCCTGATGCTTCCTCCATATACATTTCATTATTAATTATGTTAAAGTTGATATAGGCAGTAGAGAGAGCTTGTTGATCTCCTTGTTATTAATAAAACTTAAAAATATATAAAACTAAAGAAAAAACATAATATAGTGGAAGCAGAGAAAGATAAAAATGCATTCGTGTTATGGTAGAGGAAATGTGAAGAAAAAGAAAATACATGGAAGCTAAACAACAAATGATATATGAAATATTATGCAAAATTAAAAGATAAAAGCTATATCTGAAAAGAAGAGATTACATTATAAATTTTATGCTTACAGTTGGTGGTGATACTGTTGCTGAGATTAATTTTGAATATGTAGATATCTTATAAAATAATAATACTGAAATATAATGCCAACTATCACTTAAATGAAATTCTTGGCCCCACTAATAATTGTGTATATAAAAAATCAGTAGTTTACATTCTCTATACGTGGAACAAATGACATTAAATATAAAAATATATTCAAGTTTGTGTTTATCCCAAATGATCAAAGTAAGAGTGACTATTTTCAGAAGTCAAAGCTTTGAAAACTCAGTCAATAAAAGTTTTTGAATGAACTTTAAATCTTCTTACTAAAAGCTGTTACATCTGTTTCTTCTAATAAGATCTGGTTTTCAGGGCTGAGCCTTCTTTAGGTACTCTTTCCTATCTGTCCCTACGTAAAGCCTACTGCAGTATAGGTATTTTCAAGCAGAGTTGTTAAATGTCCATTAAATTTGTGCAAAAAAAAAAGACATTTAGTAAAACATTCAAGGAAAATCTCTTTCTTGGTTGCTTTTGTTATTACAATGAAATAGTCAAATCAATTTAAAATGGACACTCTACAATAATATTTTCTGTTTTGAGGATATTAACAAAAATATTTCTGATATTTCAACCTTTAATGCATAAATTAATTTTATAATGCTGAACACATAAAAACACAAAGAGATAAATAAAATTAGAAGATGAGATGAGATGCCTTCACGTAGATAGTGGTGGGGGTCTCTAGACAATATACTAGCCATATGGCCCTAAATAAATCAAAGAACAGTAATAATTCAACGTGTTTCCCCCAAAAAGAATACATGGGTCTTCCCTTCATGGACCATATCTTTTAGGTCCTAAAATTGTTGGATAAAAAAATAAAATGTTCCTGTTAATGTAGGTCATCTCAATTACAACACTGAATCAAATGTACAGTCATGTGGTGTAATTCCATCTCACCAAGATACTGTTTTGTCTGACCTCAACAAACACATTACCATGTATTCTTGAAAAAAAAAATGACCTATGGAATAAAATAACACATGCTAATAAGTGCAACTATGTTCATTAGATGAAATGTTACAGACTATTAAAAAATCAAAGACTTTCATTTTAGGTTATGATTGTATTGATTATTAATATTTCACCACTATGCATGAGTCAAATGGGAATGATAAAAACACTAACCCTTTGACTGTTCATCAGCTTTGTCAGTAAGTCACATGTGCAGATTTGATCAAGCTTTCTGCACATAGTCCAGTCCATCGCCGTTGTGTACAGAGGGCACTGATGATCCCTTTTCTCCCCAAGCACCTCATTCAACCTCTAAACATGTGATTGAACAAATGTTCTTTTATAGTTGTTATTTTTAATCAATTTACCCCATTTTGATATGAAAATAAGCTACATCACCCTCTTTTCTACAGTTCATTGCAGTTCACTTGTGAGATATTATAAACCTTGCTGAATGTGACATACAGTACTATATAAAAATTTACTGTCTTATGAGACCATAGAGGATTTATTTCTTAATGTCCTACAGGAAAATCTCACAAGAATAGAGTCCTCAGGGTAACTGAGATCTAAGAGCATCATTTCCTGATAGAGCTCTTCTTTGTGAACATGTATTATAGTTCATTTAATCACTTTTATAAGATAACTAATTGGTTTTGTTTAATTTAATAATTATGGCAATGAATAAGATTATGGAGACTTGCTTTTTCTCTTTTTTTCTTTTTTAATTGAATTTTGTTTTTCTCTTCTTGGTCAAAAATAAGGAGTTTATAGGTGTGTGGATTAATATTAAGTTCTTCTGTTTTATTTTATTGGTCCACCCATCTGTTTTGATGCCAACCCACTCTGCTTTCAAACTTATATCTCTATAGTAGAACTTGAAGTCAGGAATGGTGATACTTCTGGAGGTTCCTTTCTTGTACAGGATTGTTTTGGCTATCTTGGGTTTTTTGATTTTTCATATGAACTTGATTATTATTCTTTCAAGGATGGTGAAGATTTGCATTGGGATTCTGTAGATTGCTTTTGATAAGATTGCCATTTTTATTATCTTGAGTCTACCTATCCAAAAGCAAGGGAGATTTCTCCATTTTCTGATATATTCTTAAATTTCTCTCTTCAAAGACTTAAAGCTCTAGCTAGAACTTCAAGCACTATATTGAATATATTTGGAGAGAGTGGAAAGTCTTGTCTTGTCCATGATTTTAGTGGAATCACCTTGAGTTTCTCTCCATTTAATTTGATGTTAGTTGTCAACATTCTGTATATTGCTTTAGTATGTTTGGATACATTCATTGTATCCCTGATGTCTCCAACACCTTTATCATGAAGGGATATTGGATTTTGTTGGATGCTTTTTAAGTTTCTAATGAGATAATTATATGTAGTTTTTTTCTTTCGGTTTATTTACACAATAGATTACAATGACAGATTTTCGTATGTTGAACCATCGCTGCATCTCTGGGATAAAGCCAACTTGATCATAGTATGTTTTTTGATGTGTTTTGAGATTCAGTTTCCCAGTATTTTATTGAGTATTTTTGTGTCAATGTTCTTGAGGGAGATTGGTCTGTAATTCTCTTTCTTAGCTATATCTTTGTGTAGTTTGGGCATGAGCCTCACAGAAAGAGCCTGGTAATGTTCCTTATGTTACTATTGTGTGGAAAATTTTGAGGACAATAGGTTTGAGTTCTTTTTTGAAGTTCTGGTGGAATTCTGTACTGAAACTA